TTGAAATGCGTAATCCACTCATTATTCCCGTTTGGTATCCATTATCCGTTATCCATATATAGGTATCCGTGCGTGTGCATTAACTCCGCCCACCCTGCTTCTGATGACATCACTCGTGTTTTTTGTTTTTTTTTCACCTTATTTCAAATTACCGACTCACACTTTTCTCATCCTAATTTTACAAGTTGAAAGTTACAAAACAATTTTCTATGTATTGACAAGTCTCCAGGGCTGTCATTCCGTCATGGAAATGGGCGTTTCGTTTCCGACACGCGCTGTACGTGGTAGACCAATCCAGAGCCAATCTCTCTACGGCTCTGGACCAATCACATAGGACTGCACCATCTGACCAATCACAGCAGTGAGGGCTCGAGGAAAGGAGGGGTTTAGAGAGACTGATTCTTTGAACTGCTTCGCACGAGTCATTTACGAATAATTTAGAAATGAGGTAAAATTATATCTATTTTTTGAGAAAACTAATGTTTTTTGACCTTGCATGCATGTAAACCTGTTTTAGGAGACTCATAAAACAATATCAGCAACTTCAAAAATGGCATAATAGGGGCACTTTAAGTTAATATATTTTAAATGTACTAAATTGCAACATCATTAAAAATGTGTAATTACAAATATATTTAAATACATGACATACAAGTTTAAACATTAAAGTATGTTTTAGTTTACCAATAAATGCTTGTAGATAGATACACTCAGCAGTAACTTTAACCATATTTCAAACAAAGACAATAGAAGTAATAATGAAATTACATATAAAGATGTACTGAAGTGTTACTTAATTGGTTAAAAAAAGCACTCTTAATTTCAACTAATTGCATTCAATAATTTAAACTATAATGCATATTAATTTAATTACATTCAGTTTGCACCTATAAATATATCCTATTATTTCTGTAAAAAAGTACTCTTTTTAAAAGTATGCTTAAGTGTATGTCATTTTTCACAAGGAAAATCTTAAAGAATAGTAAAGATCCCATGACATAAAAAAGTTTGTCTTTTAGTCAATGTATTTTAGCTTTGAGATTTAAAAAAGTTAACTAAATTTGTATTTATCAGAATACACATTTAAATTACAGTCTTTTTCTTCTGGAAAATGAACAATTAGCAATAGAAAAGTAGAAAATAACATTTTAAGTTTTTAAAAATGTGTTCATTGCTTTCATCGATGACAAAAGCTGTCAAGTTTTGCTCCGGTGTGATATAAAACTAAAGGCTACTGGCTATAAAAAAAGGATAAGCCCATTAATATTGATGTTATAGGGGATTCCTGTACAAGTTTTATGTCACATACAGGGTTCCTCTTTGATATGCTTGATCCTACACTTAAAGGTGCACTAAGCAATATTTGAAAAATGCTTTTGACCATAGTGTCGGGCTGAGTCCCAAAACACACTTGCTGCCAATCAGCAGTAAGGGGCGTGTCTAGTAATGATAGGGAGAAGAGAGCGCTCAGTGAGTGCACAGGACAGATATTAGCAGATCTGGGCTTGTTTGTTTTGGTGCTTTTTAAATATCAGCATCGTTTGTCAAAATTCGCTTAGTGCACCTTTAATCTTTAAAGAGGTCACACTTATGAGCTTGTGTTGAACAGCTCATATACTTTGTGGGTGTATTTTCTCAAAAGTGGGAGTAATATTTAGGTCAGGTTTGCATTTTAATATTATGTGTTTGGGATAATTTTAGCAAGATCCATATCTTACTCTAAAATAAATGACAAATGTTGGCTTATAGATTTTTTTTTTGTAAATCTCAAACTCATTTGTTGAAGACTTAAATTGTGGTCACATAGATTTCTGGTTTAATAAAATTCTCGCCTAATTTGACATTCCAGTACTGCAGTGCTTAATCTAATTCGCAAAGAACTTGTTTAATGTGATAAGAAAATGTACATATGTCTCTCACCAATTCCTTTGAAACTATCTATCTGGCATTCATTTTGAAATCATTTGTACTGTCTCTTGGGTAATACAGTATCTCAAAAAAAGTCCCCCTTCTGCTTATTGGTAGAGAGTATTTGAGAATTTTCATTTTTACAATTTGTTCTAAAAATGATTTTTGCAAGCTCTCTATAGTCTATTTTGGGTTTGTGTTATTAATACATTGATAAATCAAATGATATTACAAAAGAATGTGCAGAGCGGCTTGTGATTGTGAATTTTACTCCGTGACAAAAGGGAAAATGTCAGCGTGCCTTAAAGAGATGAATTCCTTTTTGCATAAAACACATGGACCATCTCACGATTTGTGAAGAATCTGAGAAATTAGGCCAACTGTGAAACATCTGAAACACTTTCAAATATGAGCCGAATGTGTTTAAACATAATGAGGATTTTTTAAAAAGATGTTAAACTTGTACATATAAATGTGTGTGCGTGTGTGTGTGTGTTTGTACACCTACATACATACAAACATATATATACACACACATTTAAATATATGTAAATATATATAATGCAAAAATAGAATTATATATGTACAAGTGAAATATGAAAATGTATATAATGCAAATACATACTCAAATTAAGAATAAGAATGACATAAGTCTGTCACACAAACAAATTCAACGTATCTCTTGACATGCCATTTAATATACCTACTAAATATAAATGTTTTAATATATACGCACATTTATATATGTACAAGTGAAATATGAAAATTTATTTAATGCAAAAATATATTAGAAATAAGAAAGAATGGCGTAAATCTTTCACATAAAACATAAAATCAACGTATCTCTTGCTATCCTTTGATGTGCCATTTGGAATATTTGTCAGGATGTCCAAAACCACAGTGTGTGTGTGTGTGTGTGCGTGTGTGTGTTATTATGGGGGATGGGGCTGTTGAGATTTTGGGTTTATGAGTACTGGGGGAGGGGAACGCTCTGCATTTGTGTGCTGCATTCTCTCAAGATAATAATGACTGAAATCTCAATGAGCGTGTCAGGAGAACACCTGTCAAAGACTCTCTGTGTTTCTTTATAACCATGAGAACAGTGACTGTATGGATAGAAATTCATGAAACAGCACATATGACACACAGCACACCAATGATGGTCTGGTTGTTCACTGGCAGACATCGGAAAGGCTTCTGGAAGGGGGATGGGGTGAAGGATTAGCCTCCTAAATCTATTAGAAATTCATTCATACTAAATTCACTTATCAAGACGCTGAAGAAAAAAAAGAGAAAAAAGAGGGCTGCCCTCTCTTACATTGGTAGGTGAATTGACCCAGTTGTTCTGTATTCCTCTAAAAAGGTCACTTGACGTCACCCTCTCATGAAGCTTCTGTACATCAGCTTGAGGGAAAATGGGACAGTTATTTGTTTTGGTTTCACAGGAATATCTGACTCCTAAAACAAATCGTTCCGGCCCTGGATGCTGAATAGCCAATGCAACATTTCTGAGCTATTAGATAACATAGTAGGTTAATAACTGTGACGCAAAACACCTGTTAAGCTAGCTTGCACTGCACATATAGGCACTACATTAGTTTACATGTCAGAAACCATGGCTGTGTTCCAATCACCAATTCCAATTCATAGTGCCTTACAAAGTAGACTTCACAGAAGTTGTAGGAAGCTTGTAGGCTCAGTCCCAAGAGCAGTAAAAGGGTGATCAAGTGTGCAGTTTATCTTAACAGAAAGTGAAAATGGTAAATATATCCACTAGTCATTGAACTTCACCTCATTACTACTTGAAGTGACTAAAATAAACACAAAAAAAAACATTTTTCTTCATCTTAAATTGGTTACTAGACACGAGATACGTTTGTGTGAGAATAAAGTACACTAGATGTGACCGTTCCAACACAATTATCAGAACCCAACAGTACAAAATCACATTTATTTTTTTATTAAAGATTGCAACAGTCATTTATATATACTAAATGTAGTTACTTTTTGTGGTTGGTCGTATTTTTGGTGAACCTTTCTGTAGCTTTATGTGTGCAAAGTCACTTTTAAGGGTTAGTAAAAATGAATCACATGAATTAAGTGGTATAATCCAATCTTTCCGAAGATTTATGATTGCTTTATATGATGAACAGTTTTAATTTAGCCTGCCCTTTTATTTACATATTATTCACATTGATTGCACAGCTCGATTCATATGGATTAGTTGTATGATCTCTTTATTAACTTTTTGAAGCGTCCAAGACTTGATGTAAGATTTAAGATTTGTACATTTTGACGTTTGCATCACATAACCAGCTCCATATGTATTTCATTTCTGATATAGTAAACTTGCTCAGTAGCGCACCCGGTACAGCATTGGTAGCATTTAGGTATGAGTCCTGTGAAGCACGAATCACAAGTAAGCTTATAAAATAAAGCTCAAACACATGTAGAAATAAGCTAAAGTGGCATGGTTGCAAGTGTTTTTATGTCACATTTGATTTTGTTAACATTATCGGTTAGTTTTAGGGTAGTGTTTAGTGTAGGTGGCTTTTTCAAATGCGATTAACCTTTTAGCACCACTCAACAGACATTTAATTTCCAAATTGCTGTGATGCGTACAAGAACCAACATAACAAACCATTGCCAGATTCATGTTCATCTGTTTCAAATAAAACTGAACGTGCTTTTAGTGCTACTCTCTGCACATTTCACTTTGAAAGTGTGACATATGAAAAAGCAATGTAACATTAGCAGAAATGTTGTCAAATGCACTTTTTCCCAATGAGCCTTTGTTGAAAAGTTTTATGGGTTTGGAAGGACATGATGGTGATTAAATGGTGACAGAATTTTCATTTTCAGGTGAACTGTCCCTTTAAGGCAAGTTAGTTCACCTGGCGGCCATCTTGGTAACACCCCCTTAGAAGCTACTTCCTAATCATGCTAGAACAGCTTCTTTGTAATTCAGTAAGAAAAGATTGAAACTGCTTGCCAAATTTACATTTTAACAACATATGTGAAATCAGCAATAAATCGAACACAAAAAAAGATAAAATGTCAAAAATCCATTTGGCTGTGTTAATTTAAAAGCTGAAGTCACGTAGGTTAACTGCCATGTTGAGTTTCCATTTATCCTATTCATCTTTCTGTGAGTACCTTGTATCCTTGTCTGTATCTACTGTAAATTGAATCTGAAATTTATGAATTGTGATTTGGATTCTATTAGGTTTGGCTGTACGGTTTTTCTCTTTGAGTGTTACTGTGGAAACTGACTTTTACTGCACTATATGCAGGGCTGCTTGAGGAAGCAGGCGCGATGGCCAATGCCTCAACAGACCTGGACAATGCTGAGGCCCAGAGACAGCTCAACAACAACAACAGGCCTGCAAGCACAGGATTCTGGGAAACAGAGACCACCAGTGCCAAACTATTTGAGTGCTCCCGCATCAAAAAACTAGCAGGTGAGTAGAAGATCTGCTGGATCTGTGGCTGTGCATGTGCAATATTTTGAGCGTATACACTGTATAATGTTCAGAAGTTTGGGGTCAGCGGTTTTTTTTTCTTAAAGAAATTAATATTTTTATTCAGCAACAATGCCCTAAATTGTTCAAAAAAGTGACAGTTAAGACATTTATAATGTTACGAAAGATTTCTATTTCAAATGCTGTTCTTTTAAAATTTCGAAAGAATGTATCTTGGTTTCCACAATAATATTAAGCAGCTAAAACTGCTTTCAACATTGACAATAATAAGAAGGATCATGTGACACTGAAGACTGGAGTATTAATGCTGAAAATTCAGCTTTGCATCACAGGAATAAATTACATTTTAAAATATATTAAAATGGAAAACACTTATTTTAAATTAATTAAATTAAATATTTCAAAATATTACTGTTTTTGCTGTGTATTTCATCAAATAAATGCAGCCTTTGTGAGCATAAGAGACTTTCAAAAATATTAGTGAAACTGACCCCAAACTTGAATGGTAGTGTATATATTAGGGATATGATATTTTTCAACACCCATATTTTTGTTATGTATGAGAAATAATATATGGCTGAAATAAAAATTCTAAAGAATGTATCTTGGTTTCCACAATAATATGAAGCAGCTAAAACTGCTTTCAGCATTGACAATAATAAGAAGGATCATGTGACACTGAAGACTGGAGTAATGATGCTGAAAATTCAGCTTTGCATCACAGGAATAAATTACATTTTAAAATATATTAAAATGGAAAACACTTATTTTAAATTAATTAAATTAAATATTTCAAAATATTACTGTTTTTGCTGTGTATTTCATCAAATAAATGCAGCCTTTGTGAGCATAAGAGACTTTCAAAAATATTAGTGAAACTGACCCCAAACTTGAATGGTAGTGTATATATTAGGGATATGATATTTTTCAACACCCATATTTTTGTTATGTATGAGAAATAATATATGGCTGAAATAAAAATTCTGTAACACTGTCAAATATCAAAAACTAAAAACAAATATTCAATTGATTTAGACAAATCAACATTATAATGTACAGTATGCGAAATAAATATTAATTCTGAGATTTGCTAAAGATTACATTTAACAGCATTATTAGTGTTTTTTTTAAAGATTAACATAAAACAATACCACGGCAAAGTTAATCTAAATGTAACTGACTGAAAACTCTAATATAATCTGATAACCGATATGATACCGATATCATGCATCCCTAAAGGGTTAGTTCACCCAAAAATGAAAATTATCTCATAAATTACTCACCCTCAAGTCATCCTAGGTGTATATGACTTTCTTCTTTCAGAGGAATCCAGTCGGAGTTATATTAAAAATTGTCTTTGATCTTTCAAGTTGTTTAATGGCACTCAGCGGGTGTTGCATGCATCAGTCCAAAAGAAGTTAAATAAAAAGCGCCCATCCATAAAAAAAAGTGCCTCACACGGCTCCGGGGGGTGAACAAAGGCCTCCTGTAGCAAATCGATGTGTTTTTGTAAGAAAAATATCCATATTCAAAACGTAATAATCACTTTAATGTAGCTTGCGCTCAGTGTTGTACACGGAAGCAGCTCCGACTAACCCTTTAATATAAATAAATACATTTTGTTTGTCTTTTTGTAATCATATCAGATGAGAGGGACGCAGTCCAGAAGAAAACCTTTACTAAGTGGGTGAACTCTCATTTGGCCCGTGTGTCCTGCCGTATCTCTGACCTGTATAATGACCTGAGAGACGGATACATGCTCATCAGGCTGCTGGAGGTGCTGTCAGGAGAGCTGCTGGTGAGTTCTCAGCTGAACAAACTTTTTTCCAATTTTCACTTTTTTTTCTCCACTTTTTTAATTTGACATATTTTGTGTAATTAATTAGTTTTAGCCATGCACTAAACACTAAAACTGATATTAATTAGCCGATAACCTAAAATAAAGTTTTGGTGATTAAATTTGTGTAATTAAACTTGTTCTGCTATTCAGGGTGTCGTGTTCTAAGACGATAAATTAAACCAGATGTATTACATTTTGGCAATGAGCAGCCTCTCCACATTTCAGCCAAACAAATGTACAGATTGCTATTGTATTGCTGCTGATGTTTACCTGTTAGCTTATAGATGCTGACACAGTCAAAAAGCGTCATTAGAGAGCCACTAGTTAAACAGCACAGTTTGATTTCGGCCCTCCAAAACTATTTCAGCTAAAACCAATTTTTTTTTTTGGTGAAATATTTTTGGGTGCCAGAATTTTGGTGCATCACTAATTATTAGTATTTCTTGCTAGTATCACTAATACTTTTGCTGTACTATTTGGATTGAGCCCCACTCAAATGAATACCTTAGATGATTTGACTCAATGAGGAGAGGTTTTCTCTTACTTTTCTATAGGAATGAACCTAATATTTCTGCTTGCTGGTGATTTGACCAGTAAACAACCATTCAGAAACCTAGCAACACATAGCAGCATCCTAAAAAACACTCAGGATTGTGGTGGCACTTCAGAAAAAAAAGTGTTTTTCTTTTAATAACTTGCTCTAAGATTTGATTCAGCCCAGTGTTATTTTAATATTATTTACAGGTGCATCTCAATAAATTAGAATGTCGTGGAAAAGTTCATTTATTTCAGTAATTCTACTCAAATTGTGAAACTCGTGTATTAAATAAATTCAGTGCACACAGACTGAAGTAGTTTAAGTCTTTGGTTCTTTTAATTGTGATGATTTTGGCTCACATTTAACAAAACCCCACCAATTCACTATCTCAACAAATTAGAATATGGTGACATGCCAATCAGCTAATCAACTCAAAACACCTGCAAAGGTTTCCTGAGCCTTCAAAATGGTCTCTCAGTTTGGTTCACTAGGCTACACAATCATGGGGAAGACTGCTGATCTGACAGTTGTCCAGAAGACAATCGTTGACACCCTTCACAAGGAGGGTAAGCCACAAACATTCATTGCCAAATAAGCTGGCTGTTCACAGAGTGCTGTGTCCAAGCATGTTAACAGAAAGTTGAGTGGAAGGAAAAAGTGTGGAAGAAAAAGATGCACAACCAACCGATAGAACCGCAGCCTTATGAGGATTGTCAAGCAAAATCGAATCAAGAATTTGAGTGAACTTGACAAGGAATGGACTGAGGCTGGGGTCAAGGCATCAAGAGCCACCACACACAGACGTGTCAAGGAATTTGGCTACAGTTGTCGTATTCCTCTTGTTAAGCCACTCCTGAACCACAGACAACGTCAGAGGCGTCTTACCTGGGCTAAGGAGAAGAAGAACTGGACTGTTGCCCAGTGGTCCAAAGTTATGCGAGTTTCACAATTTGAGTTGAATTACTGAAATAAATGAACTTTTCCACGACATTCTAATTTATTGAGATGCACCTGTATATACTGTCATAGTTTTTAATATTTTGAATAGGCTTTTATTTTTATATATTTAGTTTAATTTTAATTAAATTTTTATATGCTTTTGTTATTTCTGTTAGCTTTTAAAATACAATTTAGATTTAATTAATTTTTATTTCCATTTTAGTTTTAGTTTTTATTTATTTTTAGTTAGTAAGTTTAGTGCTTCAATTTAAACTTATTTCAGTTAGCTTTCATGGCAAAATGTCTTGTATCTAATATTCATATTTTTATTTCAGCTTTTTTCAAGTAACAAAAATGTTTATTTATAATAATTTTAGTTTTAATTCATGACAATCACCCTGACTCAGCCTACATGCTATGCTTTATTAATTGTCTTTCAAAGGTTGAATACAGGAAGTTTCAAGCACGTGTTTCTGACACATTCTTGTTTTAATATGTTTTTGTTTTAAGCCTCGGCCCACGAGAGGCAGGATGAGGATTCACTGTTTGGAGAATGTGGATAAGGCTCTTCAGTTCCTCAAAGAACAGAGGGTTCATCTAGAAAATGTTGGTTCTCATGATATAGTTGATGGAAACCACCGCCTCACTCTCGGCCTCATCTGGACCATCATCCTCCGCTTCCAGGTAAGAGCTTCTTGGATTTCTTGAGACTGCTTTTGGACTTTTTGAAGGCCTCATCTGACTTTAAGAGAAAGCTCTGAGTACTGATCTCTGGGCCGTCTTATCCAGTATGCAATCATTGACTAGCGCTGGATTTATTTGATCTGATGCGGTCTGATCTGTAAAAGAGGTGGGCATGTTTGGACCCTGTGGGGGTGTTTGATCCCTGTCTGCCCTTTATGGTCCCTGCTGTGTGTGATCACTGTCTGTGTGGTGCCCGTGTGTCTGTATGACCGATTGTCAATACCTACATTACGTACTGTAGGTATGCAGTACTGATAGCAGTGGAGTTGACAAAATACAGTTGAGTCACTTTATGTGCACTAACAATGCCCACAGTATGCATGTGACTGTGAAGGCCACAAGACCATAGTGTGACCAATTTCTCATTTTTAATTTCTGTGGGTTGCTCACAAGCGCCTGAATGACTCCTTTTTTGGTGTTTTTTTGTCATTTTGGGTTTTGCAGCCCTTTGTCCCTGTATGCTGTCATTGTATGAAGAAAAACAGCTTGGGAAGAGTGCTAAAGTTCTTTTTTTGTGTGGTTTGGAATGGCATAAGGGTTTTTGAATTTTATAAACAGAATTTTCATTTTTGGTTGAACAAGTCCATCACTCTGCCAAGCTCTCATCCAACTTTAACCAAGGGCAATGCTGTGAAAAAGAAATGTCCTTAATTGTATCAAATATCTACTTTTAAAAACTGAACTGGCAGATATTATAATATTCATGAAATAAAAGGCCAATTAAGTGCACTTAAATAGAGTCACTTTCATGCTTATGTTTCTTAACACACTTCAGTACACTTTAGGTACACTTAAGTGCACGTCAACAATGTCATATTAAAAATTTTCCTTTATAGTACATTTTAAATTGTTGTTTTAATAATCTTTTGTCAAATAAAGTACATTTATTTATTTAATGTTTTTGACTAACTTTCTAAAGCACATGTAAAGTACTTGATTATAATTTTAACTGCAGTGTGTTATTTGATATTAAATTTGAAGTTATCAAATATATACTGAATATATATTATATGTACTATATTAATATATGTTCTAAATTATGTACTAAATTAGTATATTTTAAATGTACTAAATTGCAACTTCACCATTACGAATATAATTACAAATGTGTTTAAATACATGACACACAAGTTTCAATAGAATGACATTAAAGTACATTTTAGTGTATCATAAATGTGTCAGACCCTGTTCCGTGTTTTTCGTGTGTTTTGCTCCCCAAGTGCCTTCCTTGGCCTTATTTGGTCCTTCCCGTTCCTGTCATTATGATCATTTGTTCCAGGTGTTCCCCATTCAGTTCATTTGTTCCCAGGTGTGTCCCATTAGTTCCCCTGTACTTAAGCCCTGTGTTTCCTTGTCTCCAGTGTCAGGTATTGAATGTCTGTGAATGTGTTAACCTTTCCTGCTACGTGTGTTTTTCCTGGTTCCCTTAAAGACATTAAAATCTCATGTGTTGATGTACTCCTGGTCTCCTGGTTCCTCGCTCCGCGCTCCAACACCGTAGTGAATCGTGACAGAATACCGTTTCTCAGTCAAGCCCGCCGGCTGAGGCTCTCTCCAGCCCGCCAGCCGTTCCGTAGTCAAGCCCGCCGGCTGCGGCTCACTCAAGCCCACCGACCATGCCTTTCGCCCCGAACCAAAAGGGGAATCGAAGGAGGAGAAGGCGGTCGGCTCCAGCCCCAGCGCTCGCTCCAGTGTCGGCTCCAACCCCCGAATCCAGCCCAAAGAGGGCTCCTGTTCCTGAGTTAAGCCCACGGAGGGCTCCTGTTCCCGAGTTTAGCCCACGGAGGGCTCCTGTTCCCGAGTTTAGCCCACGGAGGGCTCCTGTTCCCGAGTTTAGCCCAGAGAAGGCTCCAGTCCCCGAGTTTAGCCCACGGAGGGCTCCTGTTCTAGCCCAGAGAGGGCTCCAGTCCCCGAGTTTAGCCCAGAGAGGGTTCCAGTCCCAAGTTTAGCCCAGAGAAGGCTCCAGTCCCCGAGTGTAGCACAGAAAGGGCTCCAGTTCCCAAGTCAAGCCCAGGGAGGGCCACTGTTCCTGAGTTAGGCCTACGGAGGGCCTCTAAAGACTATATTCTCCCCAAGGATTTTTTTTTTGGGGGGGTACTATGGGTCTGTCCATAGTGGCCGGCCGAGTGGTGAGGCCAAGGCTACGGAGGCCGTCCAGCCATGGCCTTCTGAGTTCCCTGCTCCGCCATGGCCTCCTGAACTGTCTGATCTACCTTGGCCTTCTGAGCTGCCTGCTCCGCCATGGCTCCCCGAGCTCCCTGTTCCACCATGGCCCCCTGAACTGTATGCTCCGCCATGGCCTCCTAGTCTGCCTGTTCCGCCATGTCCTCCTGAACTGTCTGCTCCGCCATGGCCTCCTAGTCTGCCTGATCCGCCATGGCACCCCAAACTGTCTGATCCGCCATGGCCCCCTGAGTTCTCTACTCCTCCATGGCTCCCCGAGCTGCCTGCTCCACCATGGCCCACCGAACGGGTACCACTCTGGAGGCCTGCTGTCCCGTGTCTGTCCTGAGGGGCCTCCAGAGTACCCACCCCACCTCCCCGTTGGATGTTGTGAGGCGCGAGGATGCGCCTTCCGGGAGGGCGGGGGAGTAATGTCAGACCCTGTTCCGTGTTTTGTGTGTGTTTTGCTCCCCAAGTGCCTTCCTTGCCCTTATTTAGTCCTTCCCGTTCCTGTCATTATGATCATTTGTTCCAGGTGTTTCCCGTTCAGTTCATTTGTTCCCAGGTGTGTCCCATTAGTTCCCCTGTACTTAAGCCCTGTGTTTCCTTGTCTCCAATGTCAGGTATTGAATGTCTGTGAATGTGTTAACTGGGGGGGTACTATGGGTCTGTCCATAGTGGCCGGCCGAGTGGTGAGGCCAAGGCTACGGAGGCCGTCCAGCCATGGCCTTCTGAGTTCCCTGCTCCGCCATGGCCTCCTAGTCTGCCTGATCCGCCATGGCACCCCAAACTGTCTGATCCGCCATGGCCCCCTGAGTTCTCTACTCCTCCATGGCTCCCCGAGCTGCCTGCTCCACCATGGCCCACCGAACGGGTACCACTCTGGAGGCCTGCTGTCCCGTGTCTGTCCTGAGGGGCCTCCAGAGTACCCACCCCACCTCCCCGTTGGATGTTGTGAGGCGCGAGGATGCGCCTTCCGGGAGGGCGGGGGAGTAATGTCAGACCCTGTTCCGTGTTTTGTGTGTGTTTTGCTCCCCAAGTGCCTTCCTTGCCCTTATTTAGTCCTTCCCGTTCCTGTCATTATGATCATTTGTTCCAGGTGTTTCCCGTTCAGTTCATTTGTTCCCAGGTGTGTCCCATTAGTTCCCCTGTACTTAAGCCCTGTGTTTCCTTGTCTCCAATGTCAGGTATTGAATGTCTGTGAATGTGTTAACCTTTCCTGCTACGTGTGTTTTTCCTGGTTCCCTTAAAGACATTAAAATCTCCTGTGTTGATGTACTTCTATTTCAAAAGAGGTTGCAGGTCTAAAAATATAAATATGGCTATTAAGGAAACCGTATAGGCCGAGAAAGTTAAATGTACAGTAGGTCATTTTTTATTTGTTTATCCTATCTAACCTACATTTTTAAATTAAAATAAGAAGGTTATGAGTGGGATGGTGATGAGTGCTTTTTAAAAGTATGTGAAACTGTACTCAATTTTCACAAGGGAAACCAGGGTCGCCGTGATTTTGCCAAGTAAGACATGTTCCTGGATCAACATCTTTTGTTGATCCTGGATCAACATTACTGTCCAAAAATATAGACTAAACCCAATCCCTACCCCTAAACCTAACCCTACCCATAATTTATTCCTAAAATCAGTGTGAAATGATAGCTGATTAACAAGGGTGTAAAAGCACCTAACCCTGATTGTAAGCCTAAAACAGACATTTCCTGAAAAGTTATCCCTCAATTCTGATTGGTTAATTGGAATGTTGTTCCAGGATCAACAAGGATGTTGATCCAGGAACATGTTGTACTTGGTGAAATCACGGTCACCGGGAAACCAGGCTTGTATTTTCTCACTTCCATCATCTCTCTGAATATTTTAAAGCGCTCCGTGTCCATGTAACTACAAAGTACAGAGCAGCTCCTGGTTTGTATTGCCTGTCATCTCTTGGCTCTATCAGTAAAGCAGTGGCAGGTTACCCAGAATGCCGTCTGACTGCAGCCCAGTAAGCTGATGCTGTGGTGATTTTGGACGTAGGGACTGAGAGAGGTGGCGTGTCACTCGATCCACCGAGCGTGCCGTAGAGATGGCGGGGTGGGGCTATCATTCACGTTCAGCTCTCGTCCTCTCGTGATTCTTCCTCTTCCCCTCTCGCTCTCATTTATTGTCCCGCCTCCCTCCTCCATATTCCTCTTTATATCCTGTCTCCATATATGCCGGAATATCTCTCCGCTCCCCTATTTATCTTCTTCCTACCCTCCCCATCTCTGTTGGAGTTCACTCTGCCCAGTCAGCAGGTAAGGCCGAACACTGCAGCAGCCGAACAGAGAGAGAGAGAGAGAAAGAGAGGGAGGAATTAGGAAGAGGGCAGATGGGAAAGCTGTAAGGCAAAAGAAACATGCAAACTTCAGTATCTTGTGGACCAGAAACGTTACAGATGTAGCACTATATATCACAACTTAGGCTACACTAGTTTGATGAAGGTTTTATATTTGCTTTCTCTTGTTATGTATTATTCATTATAAATCTGTTTACATTTCCTATCTTTCCTTTGTAGAACTTTGCTACTCTTGTTTTAAGCATAAGCCTTTGTAAATTTTGTTAGATTTACACTTAAAGCAAAAAAAAACCTTGTCGCCCAACTGAATAAGAAAAATATTACATAACTCAAGATATATTCTGTGAGGGAAAGACTTCTTATCTAACCTAATGTTGCTTCTCAAGCAAATTTATCTTGTTTTAAGGATGTTTTACTGGAAAAACAAGCCTAAATTACAGGTTTTTGCAGTGCTGTTCTTTGAGGTTGTAGACATCGATCATATATTAACTGCATGATGCAAGAAATTCAATATGACGAATGATCTTGGGTCACTGTAGTTTTGTAATGTGCTGGGGATGTTTGTGTGTGTGTTTGATTCACACTATAATGCCTGATATTGTGAGAGTGTGTCCTTGTGCCACGCATTAGTATGTATCACGTCAAAATGACAAAACTGGTGCAATTGCTGTCATATGTATTGATGAGACGACACTAAGCACAATATGATATTTGTGGCCTGATGACGGAACAGGCCAGTAAACCACAGATACTAGGTTAATGCAGTCACATTAAATATGATACGATAATTCTATACAATGAATGAATACCTTTAATGTCATTGTCATTGCATCTCATAAACTTTAATTGAAGGAGAGACCTGAATATCATTGAGATCACAGGACTCGGGCCAGTAAGCAACCACCTGGTAACTACCCAGAAATGCCTAGCATCTTCCTAGCAAGGTCCTATCAACCACTCAAACACCTAAGCACGATGAAGGCAACTTTTGCACTGACGAGCACAATTTCTTTAGAAAATATAAAAATCTAATTTAAAGAAATAATTCACCAAAAATGAAAATTCTGCCTTCATTTACTCACCCTCAAGTTGTTTCAAACCTGTAAGAGTTTCTTTCTTCTGTTGAGCACAAAAGAAGAAGAATGTTGGTAACCAGACAGTTGACGGCAGCCATTGACTTCCATAGTATGAAAAAAAATATTATGGAAGACAATGGCTACCATCAATTGTTTGGTTACCAGTCTTCATTTTTGGGTGAACTATCCCTTTAACCCTTATGAGCTTTTCAGACATTTTTGATTGATTTCATTTTTGTTTTTTGTCAATCTGAGTGGTTCAGACCTTGGTAACTTTTTTAGATATGCAATCTGGGGGGAAAAAAATAGGAATAATTCTTTTAACAATTTGTCCTAACACAGAGCAGTTTGTCTTTTTTTTTATTGTGTTGAATAACATTTATATATCAGCCACAATGTTGAACACAATACACACAATAATAGGGTGATTCTCACGAAACCATTAAAACACCATGGCACTAATGATTTTAAATATAAAACAATTTAGTAATATAAAAAAGCATCAGAATAAAGACAATACTGTTCTCTACCTTGCACAATGTGTAATTTCAACTTGAGAAAAGCAGTGAGACTATAAAACATCCAGAGTGCAAAAGGTTCACTCCTAATACAAAAAACACACACACAATTAAATGAATTGCAAAATGAAATTTAAAGGGTTAGTTCACCCAAAAATGAAAGTTCTGTCATTAATTGCTCACCCTCATGTCGTTTTAAACCCATAAGACCTTCGTTCATCTTCGGAACACAGATTAAGATATTTTTGATGGAATCTGAGAGCTTTTTCTGACCCTGAATAGACAGCAATACAACTGAAATGTTCCCAAGTCCAGAAACGTGGCAAGGACATCGGTAAAATAATCCATGTGCCATCTTTTGCCAATTTTCATTTTTGGTTGAAATATCCCTTTAATTAAGATTTGAATAAGATCTAAATTACCCAAAATTTCAACAACAAAAAAAAGTATTTGATTTTGTTGTTACTGCTTCAGGGAATTGTTATGCCATTTCATTAGAAAAAAATATATATAAATTTCCCTTCAAAATTAACAACCAAGATGTAGCCCTTTTTTGATGATTGGGATACTGCATGGTCCTCCTGGTATACTATCATTTGTTTCATTGCAATATGAATATGAAGTTTTTTGGCTTAATGATCCCAGTAGGGAAAGCAAAGCCAGTGACTGGTCCCTTAAAGAGCACACAACCATGTAATGTCTGTCAATTTCGGATTGCAGTAACCTTTTTATTGGTGTTTCTCATTCCTAACAGATCCAGGTGATTAAGATTGAGACGGAGGACAACAGAGAGACACGCTCCGCTAAAGATGCCCTACTTCTGTGGTGTCAGATGAAAACAGCAGGGTAACATCTATATATCTATCCCACAACTACCCATAACCAACCCATGGACAGTCATACTACAGGTGCATCTCAATAAATTAGTCGTGGAAAAGTTCATTTATTTTAACTCAAATTCTGAAACTCGTGTATTAAATAAATTCAATGCACACAGACTGAAGTAGTTTAAGTCTTTGGTTCTTTTAATTGTGATGATTTTGGCTCACATTTAACAAAAACCCACCAATTCACTATCTCAACAAATTAGAATATGGTGACATGCCAATCAGCTAATCAACTCAAAACACCTGCAAAGGTTTCCTGAGCCTTCAAAATGGTCTCTCAGTTTGGTTCACTAGGCCAGTGTTTCCCAACCTTTTTTTAGTCGCGGCACCCTTTGGAAATTTTAACAAACTTGTGGCACCCTAAAAGATCAATTTTGTCACAATATTTGAATTTCTAACTTCAATATGATAATGTGAAAAGTATAGATATTCGGTACAACAGGGAAGAAAATTTATTTAATACACGAGTTTCACAATTTGAGTTGAATTACTGAAATAAATGAACTTTTCCATGACATTCTAATTTATTGAGATGCACCTGTATATACTGTATATGCTACTGGTAAAAATAATCATTTGGAATAATTAAGGTATTTTAATGTTTTTAAAATAAGTATTTTATGCTCACCGAGACAGCATTTATTTGATCAAAAAGTACATTAAAACAGTATTATTGTGAAATATTATTACCATTTAAAATAACTGTTTTCTATTTTAATATATTTTAAAATGTAATTTATTCCTGTGATCAAAACTGAATTTTCAGCATCATCACTCCAGTCTTCAGTGTCACATGATTCTTTAGAAATCATTTTAATATGCTGATTTTCTGCTCAATTATTAATGTTTTTCTTATTATCAGTGATAAATACCTTTTTTGCTGTTTAATATTTTTATGACAATTGTGGTACTTTAAAAGTTTAAAAGAACTGCATTTATTTGAGATATAAATCTTTTGTAACATTATAAATGTCTTTACTACTGTCACTTTTGATTCATGTAATTGTTCATGTGAGACTGAAGTCTGGAGTAATGATGTTGAAAATTCAGCTTTGTCATCATAGGAATACATTCATATAGAAAACTTTTAGTAAGATTTGACAATATTACTGTATATTTGATCATATAAAACCAGCAAAGGTGAGCATGAGACTTCTTTCAAAAACATTTTAAAAATTATAATTATTCCAAAATTTTGATGTGTTTGGTATTATTTGGGCCTTCAGAGAAATAGACATGATTTTGCTGTACGTGAGAAGTCTTTGATGATGCTGCGATGTGTTTCCTGTGTTTTGCCCCAGGTACCCAGAGGTCAACATTCACAACTTCACCACCTGCTGGAGGGACGGCCTGGCTTTCAACGCTCTTATTCACAGGCACAGGTCAGCGGTTCAGACAGATACACATCATACTGACTTGGCTTTCTTTTATACCATTCACATCATTGATAGAGGCTGTTGGGAAGTCATGGCCTAATGGTTAGAGAGTCGGACTCGTAACCCAAAGGTTGCGGGTTCGCGTCTCGTACCGGCAGGGATTGTAGGTGGGGGGGGGGAATGTGCAGCGCTCTCTTCACCTTCAATACCACCACTGAGGGGCCCTTGAGCAAGGCACCGAACCCCCAACTGCTCCCCGGGCGCCGCAGCATAAATGGCTGCCCACTGCTCCGGGTGTGTGTTCACTGTTGTGTGTGTGCACTTTGGATGGGATAAATGCAGAGCACTAATTCCGAGTATGGGTCACCATACTTGGCCACATGTCACGTTATGTGAGCTGATTTCTGCTTGCGTGTTTCACAGGCCTGATTTAATTGAATTCCACAAGTTGACCAGATCCAATGCAACACACAACCTCCAGCAAGCCTTTAACATAGCTGAACAGAGTCTCGGACTCACCAAACTACTAGACCCTGAGGGTAACGAACAGCATTTTACTCTCACTAAATACAGCTAATACAGTGTGACCCTTTAAATGACCTTGTTCGGACAGAGATTTGCTAAATAGCTGAATGATCACTCAAAACTATAACCATTTTCTCCCACCCAGATGTAAACACAGAGAACCCAGATGAGAAGTCCATCATCACTTATGTAGTATCCTACTATCATTATTTCTCCAAAATGAAGGCACTTATTGTAGAAGGGAAGAGAATTGGAAAGGTAGGGGGTGTTTTTGTGCATGTTTGATAAAGCTAAATACATTATCGTCTCATGTGAATTAGCTCGAGTGTGTTATCAGATGCACATTTTTCCTCTCTTTTTCCTCTTTCTAGGTGCTGGACAATGCTATAGAAGCTGAGAAGATCATTCGCCGTTACGAGGCTTTAGCATCCGACCTGTTAGAGTGGATTGAGAGAACCATTAGCATCATTAGCAACCAGAAGTTTGCAAACTCACTGTCGGGTGTTCAGCAACAGCTTCAAGCCTTTACCACCTACTGCACCATTGAGAAGCCTATCAAGTAAGAGAGAATAAATGAAACAGAGGTCTGATGACTGCCAGAGAAGTACTCGTCTCAAACTATGACTGTGAATCATCTGGTTCTTTCAGCGCTTTCTTACTCTACCATTTAAGGAGACTAGTATTGTTGGTCAAAGGTGTTCAAAGGTGTTCCTACCCGTGTGAAAAAGAAGTGCGCTTATATTGAATGTGCACTTGCAGTGTACTTCAAATCTTAAAAGTGTATTTTAAAAAAACTGTACTTGCAGTGCAGATTATATAATATTAATGGAATAAAGGGCCACTTAAGTGTACTTTCATGACTTTTCTTAACACACACAGGGATAGTTCACCCAAAAATGAAAATCCAAACCTGTATGAGTTTCTGACTTCTGTTGAATACAAAAGAAGGTATTATGAAGAATGTTGTAACCAAACAGTTGCTGGTAGCCATTGACTTCCATAGTATGGAAAAATTACTATGGAAGTCAATGGCTACCAGCAACTGTTTGTTTATACACATTCTTTAAAATATCTTCTTTTGTGTTCAACAGAAGACAGTACAATACAGGTTTGAAACAACACGAAGGTGAGTAAATGATGACAGAATTTTCTTTTTTTGGGTGAACAACAGAAATGACATTGAATTATATTTTATTTCACCAGACTAGGAGCAATTGCTTGTCAGTACATTCTGCAGTGCACATTAAACATTTCAAAGACAGTAGAAGTATTTATGACATTGTATATAAAGTTGTACTGAAGTCCTACTTAAGTGGGTTAAAAAAAAAGCACTCTTAAGTTCAGCTAATTGCATTTAACATAATTTTAATTTAATTATAAGTAACATGCAATTAAGTGTCCGAAAACATTACATTCAGTCCATACTTAAGTATATTATTTAAAGCACTCTTTTTAAAAGCATACTAGCTGGAAAGTGTTTTTTTTTCGCTGATTATTGGCAGATTGTGCTGCTAACCATAGCTATTCAATATCTGACCGCAAGTAGGCTGTATTATTGTAATTTTTCTCACCACTTAACATTGTGTAGAGAAAGTGTTTGTCTTTTCATATTATGTACAAACAATATCACCAACTCTTGTTGAAAATTAATGATTTTTGGTCACTTTGTCGCATACTTTCAATGTAAACTCCCTTTTAGAATCGGTCGATGTGCTCAACTGATGTGCTCATGTTTATTGGACTCTTTTACTCTGTTTTTAAAGCTTTAAGTTAATTACATTAGTCCATTTGGAATAAAGACTTGTTCATGCCGTTGCATTAATCAAATATCACAATCAGGGAATGTGCTGACACTTGAGAGAGCTGTTACTTTCACTGCGAGGAATGCAGCTTGTTTAACACTCAGTGACCGAAGTTACCGTACAGTGACACTGACATAGAGTTTAATATGTGGTCTGAAATAGTAAGTATCTGTGCTGTTTTTAATGGAAAGATGTACAGCACAGACAGCACAGATGTAGTGCAGTTTGTGTGGTTATTTATGGTGTGGATTGTTTTTGTTCAGATTCCAGGAGAAAGGGAACCTGGAGGTGCTGCTTTTCACCATCCAAAGTAAGCTCAGAGCTAACAATCAGAAGCCATATATGCCTCATGATGGGAAACTTATCTCAGACATCAATAAGGTATGTACTGTTTAGTTAATATGGTTCTCAGCTGGTTACAGTGTCAAATTTGTATTTTTGTATAACCAAAACAGGGCTGATTCCCTTTCAGAAAAAAAGTTACTTTTTTTTTTATTTGAAAATATAGAAATATGACATATCATGTCATTTGAATTAAATATTAACTAAAGACCTAAAGAAGAAATATACACCGCTTGTCAGAAGTTTTGGAATAATTAAGATTTTTTTAATGTAATGTAAAACCCCTGATTTTGATTTAAAAAATACAGTAAAAAATGTAATACCGTGAAATATTTTACAATTTAAAATAACTGTTTTCTAATAGAATATGTCTTAAAATGTAATTTATTCCTGTGATCAAAGCTGTATTTTCAGCATCATCACTCCAGTCTTCACTGTCACATGAGCCTTCAGAAATCATTCTAATATGCTGATTTGCAGCTCAGTTATTATCAATTATTTTGGTGCTCAATTATTGATGATAGTACTTATTATTTTTACTGTGAAAAACAGTTTTTGCTGCTTAATATTTTTGTGGAAATGTTTTTTTTCCCTTCAGGACTCTTTGATAAATTGAAAGTTCAAAAGAACAACATTTGAAATTGAATTTTTTGCATCATTATAAATGTCCTGACTTTTTATCCTTTTAATGCATCCTTGCTGAATAAAAGTATTATTATTTTTTATCATACTTCCTCCAAATTTTGAAATGGTAGTGTATCACAATTTCAACAAAATGTATGAAGCAGCACAACTGTTTTCAAATAATCAGAAATGTTTCTTGAGCAGCGAATCAGCATATTATCATGATTTCTGAAGGCTCATGTGACACTGAAGACTGGAGTAATGATGCTGAAAATCCAGCTTTGATCACAGGAATAAATTACATTTTAAAACATATTCAAATACAAAACAGCTATTTTAAATTGAAATAATATTTCGCAATTTTAGTGTTTTACTGTGTGTTTGATTAAACAAATTCAGCCTTGGTGATTATAAAAGACATTTCAAAAATTTTAACATTTTTTAATTATGTCAAACTTTTAGTGATTCCGATCATTTTTTTTATAATTACAGATAGTGTATAATTTTTGTATATTTTATTTATTATAGGAAGTTTTATTTACCTACTATTTACCCTTTTCAGCTAAGCTATTCACATTTTAGTATATTGATATATTATTGAATGACTTAATCAAAATGATTGTATGATTGTTGGCATTGTCTCACAGAATAATCCTGATATTTTGTTTTTCTCATGAAAGGCGTGGGAGAGACTAGAGAAGGCGGAGCACGAGAGGGGCGTAGCTCTTAGAAAAGAGCTGATTCGTCAGGAAAAGCTAGAACTTCTAGCTCAACGATTCGATCATAAGACCACCATGAGGCAGGCTTGGCTGAATGAAAACCAGCGTCTCGTCTCACAGGTGTGCAGAACAGAAAAAAATAAAACTTGGTGAACTGGGTAAAATAAAACAGGAGAAATTCTGACTTAAACGGGTGCTGTGTTTTTCTCAGGATAACTTCGGCTATGACCTGCCAGCTGTTGAAGCTGCCATGAAGAAACACGAGGCGATCGAAGCAGACATCATGTCATACGAGGAGCGCATCAGTGTCGTGGTGGAGCTGGCGACTGAGATGGAGTCAGAAGGGTACTATGACATCCGACGTATCTTGGCGCGCAAAGAAAACATCTTCGGCCAGTGGAGCCTTCTGAAGGAGCTGGTGGTGGGGCGTAAAACCCGTCTGGAGAAGAACCTGGCCTTGCAGAAGACCTTCCAAGAGATGGTCTACATGATCGACTGGATGGAGGAGATGCAGGTGGATTGACTGTACCAATTTGATTTGGTTTTTGATTAAAACCAGCCACAAAAAACATACATGGTGTTTTAACACTATTTTCATGCCACTATTTTCATGCAGTAGTCAAGTTGACACAATCAACGTGCCATATTCTCACTCCAGGTTAAGCTGCTGTCTAAAGACTATGGCAAACATCTTCTTGAAGTGGAGGACATGCTCCAGAAACAGAGTTTACAGGAGGCTGACATCTCTATACAGGCAGACAGAGTTCAAATCCTCAACACTGCAGCTCTCAAATTCACCACTATTGAAGGTGAGTGCGCCTCAAAACAGTAACATGATGAATATTGATTCAGAGACACTGTCTGGGGTCAGGATGTGATGGCAGATTGTGATATAAAGGTTACTGTAACTGGATGCATTTCTTTCACTGAGATGTCCAGAGACCTCTGCAGGGTAGAGTATGTAAAATTATATGACATGAGGAACTTGCAAAATGCGCCACAAGAGGGCTGGAGTTGGTTTGCTCTGTATTCAGTGCATACTCTGATTCAGAGCTCAACAATGAGGATTTTTCTGCTTTTGCCATGTTTTTTTTTTTTTTCTTTTTTGCTACAAATTATATTAACGTTTT